CATAAAACCTTGCCCGTGACTCTAGCATTACTCGGGGTTGCGGTCCCTTTGTTGATTAGGATTGGATGACTTGCAATCGTAGAAACTGTGGTTCGCTGGCTTGGAGTGTCATCCTGATATGCTCGGTGGATCCACACGCCGGGCCCTTATATGAGCGCTTGAGGTGTCCAGTGATCAATTTTGATCATCAATGGTGCACATCCCGCGCGTTCAGATTCGAAGGATTTTGGGACACACGATTGAGGTACGCAATCTTAGTACTTTTTTCCGAAAAGAAGGATAATCCCCGGTCTCTACATCAAGCGATGCACACAACCATCTTTATTATATTATTCAACAGTCTTACAAAATAAATACATGAATCCACCCAAAGCTACCTTACACGCAAACACTGTCACCCTCCCTACGACCTTGATAATGTGCCTTGACCTCGCGCCAACACACACCAAGTAATCCGGTGGCCTCACCAAACCGTCCGCCGGCTAGCCGGGAGCACCAACCGGTCTAGCAGACCCACAACGTGCACCGCATGCGCACGTTGTACTCCGCCGCCGGCATCCTCCGTCGTCTCATGTAGGACCATGAAGTATGTCTAGAGGGGGGTGATTAGACTACTTGACCAATTAAAAAACTTAACGTTTTCTCAATTTTAGAGTTTGGCAGATTTTAGCTATATTAGGACAAGTCAAGTAATCATCACACAATTCAAGCAAGCATGCAAAGAGTATATAGGCAGCGGAAATTAAAGCATGCAACTTGCAAGAAAGTAAGGGGAAGGGTTTGGAGGATTCAAACGCAATTGGAGACACGGATGTTTTTCGCGTGGTTCCGATAGGTGGTGCTATCGTACATCCACGTTGATGGAAACTTCAACCCACGAAGGGTAACGGTTGCGCGAGTACATGGAGGACTCCACCCACGAAGGGTCCATGAAGAAGCAACCTTGTCTATCCCACCATGGCCGTCGCCCACAAAGGACTTGCCTCACTAGCGGTAGATCTTCACGAAGTAGGCGATCTCCTTGCCCTTACAAACTCCTTGGTTCAACTCCACAATCTTGTCGGAGGCTCCCAAGTGACACCTAGCCAATCTATGAGATACCACTCTCCAAGAAGTAACAAATGGTGCGTTGATGATGAACTCCTTGCTCTTGTGCTTCAAATGATAGTCTCCCCAACACTCAACTCTCTCTCATAGGATTTGGATCAGGTGGAAAGAAGATTTGAGTGGAAAGCAACTTGGGGAACGCTAGCGATCAAGATTCATATGGTAGGAATGGAATATCTCAGAAATGGTAAGTTGGAAGTGTAGGTTTGTTCTGATGGCTCTCTCCACGAATGAAGAGGAGGTGGAGGGGTATATATAGCCTCCACACAAAATCTAACCGTTACACACAATTTACCAAACTCGGTGGGACCGATTCAATAGACTCGGTTGGACCGATTTAGTAAACCTAGTGACCGTTGGGATTTTCGGTGGGACCCACATGCAACTCGGTAAGACCGATTTGGTTAGGGTTAGGGCATAACGTAATCTCGGTGAGACCGATTACACAAACTCGGTGAGACCGATTTTGGTAATAAGCTTTCCAGAGAGTTGGTCAGGTAAACTCGGTGGGACCGATTTGCTCTTTTCGGTGAGACCAAAATGTTACAAAAGGGAAACAGAGAGTTTACATTGTAATCTCGGCGGGACCGATCTCTCACTTCGGTTAGACCGAAACGTTACGAAGGGAAACAAAGAGATTACAATCCCATCTCGGTGAGACCGAGATCCCTATCGGTAGGACCGATTTGCCTAGGGTTTGTGGTAGTGGCTATGACATTAGAACTCGGTGGCTCCGGATAGAAAGAATCAGTGTGACCGATTTTGGCTTTAGGTTTAGGTCATTTGTGGATGTGAGAAAGTAGCTGAGGGTTTTTGGAGCATATCACCAAGCACATGAAGCAAGAGGCTCATTAAGCAACACCTCATCCCTCCTTGATAGTGTTGGCTTTTCCTATAGACTCAATGTGATCTTGGATCACTAAAATATAAAATGAAGAGTCTTGAGCTTTTGAGCTTGAGGCAATCCTTTGTCATTAGTACTTTGAGGGATCCACTTTCATCATCCATGCCATGCCATTCATTGAGCTTTCCTGAAATAATAGTCTTGGAATAGCATTAGCTCAATGAGCTATATGTTTTTATGAATTACCAAAACCACCTAGGGATAGTTGCACTTTCATCTCATCTTTGGGAGTGATCAATGTAGTACTTAGAGGAATGTTATCCTAACCACAATATTTAACCAAATTGAAAAGTTGTCGGATGATAGTCATATTTCTCTCTGCCATTATCTTGATATCCACAACATGGATGCCAATCCT